TCACGATATTTCCCCATATTATGAAAATCAAATGTTTTATAAGAATTTTAAATGATAAGAATCAAAATTATCGAATATAATTAAAATTAAAATAATTAAGCTATTAGATTTGAATTAGCTGTAGACAATTATTACTATTTTAAGTAAAAAGTATGCAGAATAAAATATTTCAATTAAGTAAGAAGAAGTCCCAATAAGAATGTCCTGATGTTTTTCTTAAACGAAAACGGTAAAAAATGGCTGTGAATAAAAAAAAATTATTGCAAAATATAATAGATAACAATTATATTTCGAATAATACATCATTCAAATGTCCACTGCGACTACGTTTGCAGGAGCGAATTCGATGAACCAAATTTTCGGCCACTTTATACAAAATATCCGCATTAATCTCACACATGGTGTGCTCTATTTTCCCCTTCAAGTCTTCAATAGATTGTGTTTTGTTCACATAGACCAATTACTTAACATAGCCCCATAAAAAAATAATCCAACGGTGTTAAACCGCAGCTTCTTGGAGACCAAGCATCTGGTCGAAGTTGCTAAATTCTCCTGGAATCTCTGGCATCAAGAGAAATCTATGTTTCCGGGAACTTTTCCTTCAATAAATCTATGGTTGGGGCAGTAGTGTGACATGTGGCACCGTCTTGTTGGAAAAACATGCCATCCAAATCCATTTCATCCAACTGAGGCCACAAAAAATCCGATATCATCGTTCGATACCTTTCACCGTTGACTGTTACACAGTGTTCGAATAAATAAGGTCCGATGATGCCACCATGCCATAAACCACACCAGACAGTGACTTTTTCTCGATGCAAAGGCTTCTCAAGAATCTCATGTGGATTATTTTCACTTTAAAAACGACAAAAAATGAGCTTCTTCGGAAAAGATTATCGACATCGAAATCGACATCATTTTCGAGTTTGCCTGGAGCCCAATCAGCGAACAAACGACGCTTATGATGGTCAAGTTCTTGAGTAAGAACAATCATGTAAGGGTGTAGGTCTAAATGTTTTCTCAGAATTCGCTAAGTTGTCATTCTGGTGAGTCCAAGTTCTTGAGAACGACGATTTACGGACACATTTGCATACTCTGCTACACAATCTCGCAGCAGCAGCAATATTGTCCTGAGTTCTTGCATTTCGGCGTCTAGTTGGTGGTTTCGTATCGTGCAGAGTAAATTCACGTTTAAACTTTTCCACGATTCGACGACTTAAACGCAAATCAGGACGATGATTTCATCCATAACTTTCACGTAATGCATGATAGGTATTCACAAAAGAACGATTATTAGCATAAAATTTTAGGATAATTTCCAAACGTTGTTCAAGCGTATATCTTGCCATGGTAATTTGTTAGGGTATACTAAATACAAACGTCAACAAGTGACAGTTCTACCATTTTTAAAATGGCCGCTATGACATTTCAAAAACAGGATGTCCCTATTGGGAAACCCATTATTATTAAATTTGAATCTTAAGTTTCTTTAATCTTTTTAATTTATAAAAAAAATGCACTGCTCTAAATGATAACAAATATTCAAAAACTTACAGTTTTATCCCGACGTTCACTTGTATGTTCCTGCTTCCTTCTTAGAACTGCAACTGGAACTGATGAGCTGGATTTCTGGATGCTACTAGATTTTTTTGCTAGAAACTAGATCTCCACACTGCTGGAACAGTAGACTTAAGGACTGCTATTCAGGTTCTCTTGTAATCGAAGGCTCTCGTAAGGCTCCTACCCCTAATTTCTGTGCTTTCTGGTCTTTTTTATTTCTTTTTTCTTTTCTCCACACTTCGAATTCGATCGTCGATCTTGTACAGAACTGGGAAACCGCTATTTAGGTCGCTAAGGGTCGTCTTCTTCGAAGCTCCAAACCAATTAACGCTCTTTTGATGATGTTTTGACGAAGGACCAATGGAAAGGTTCGAACGTAGTTTTGAGGTTCGAATCGGTTAGTAAATGCCCCTTTGTCCGCTTCTCGTCGATCGACGATGATAGGTATAATAAAAGGTTAAAGTTGTGGAGTAAAAGTGTTGATTTATTGACAGCTATCGGTAATTACACAATATGATGTTCGTTAGGTAACTACTTATGATTGACTGTGTTCATATGATCTCAAATCCCCAATTGATAATCCCACAAATAATTCATACCTAAGCACATAGGTCATTGCTTTCTATCATACCATACCAACAAACGTTGCTTACAATACAATTTAATCTACGCCTTAATTGCGACACTTAGGAAGTTCAATTAGAAAATATATTATTCGGCAATTTATTTAGTTGTAGGTAAATGAACTAATTATTAAAATATTATACGATATGGTTTTACAATGTCAGTAATACACGGTGTATACACGTATACACGGATAAAAGATTAAGAAGTTAAGAATAATGTGAGATTACAAATTAAGGGTTTAATTTGTGATTGAACATATTGGCCACTATATAAAGAACAAACAGACGACCAATAGAAAATATTTAAATACATATAAAATATAAAATAATAATAACAATAATCATAACACTAATTCACTCGGTTTTTGAATTATTATCTCACCCGAGCAGTGCTACTTATAATTTGATTATTTAGAATTTATTTTTTAGTTAAACTCTCTAATTCAAATCTAAGCTTATTAAGTGAAACTGATCCAGGAGGGGTTTTCTTTAAAGTATTACTTAAACTTGGTTGTGATGAAGTATGTCTTCAAGGCGCTGAATGAGGTTGGATGAAAGAGCTTTGATGACTTTGTTTTCTGGCTCTCTTGGAGTTTTGAAAATTTTTGGCATGCGTTTACACTTTATAGTCTTTAATGAAATAGGTTGAGGAGGGGAGAACTGTTTGTCTCAAGTTGGTCATTCAGAATTATATCTGTGTTTTTTAATTTGTTGATTTCCATAGATTCTAACAACGATAGCTTAAGGCCTTTATTTTGAATGTGAATAATTTTAAATTCGTCATTAAAAGAATGATTATGATCTAAAAGGTATAGTGCGTATGTAGAATCTGTTTTTCTGTTATTGAAAACTCTTTTATGTTCTTCTATTCGTTTATTAAAATTTCTACCAGTTTGACCGATATAAGTTTTTGGGCAGTCGCCACATTTAAGTTTGTACATGTTTGTACAAGTGTGTTTTTTTTTATTTTGGCTTTTGTTGTTTTTAACATATTTACTTAAGTTGTTATTTGTTCTGAAAGCTGGTGTTATTCCTTCCTTTTATATGTCTTTGGCTATTTTTGTTAATATTTTGCCTGTATATGTAATCGAGCAGAAGGTACTGGGTTTTTTCTCCGGTGGTGGAAATACTAATTTCAGAGCTTTCTTGATTGTTTTTGATTTAACATTTTATTAATTGTTTGTTCGTTGTATCCATTGTTTACTGCTATTTGCGTTTAATGATATTTAATTCTGTCTGAAAGTTGTATTATGACATCGGACTTTCTGTTAATTTATGTAACATACTATGATGGTTGCCAGTTTATGTTGTGTGGGATGGGATGATAAATTGTGTATAGTCGTGTCAGTATGGGTAGGTTTATGAAATATGGAGGAGTCATGTTTGTTTTTAAGTCTGATAATTTTTAACTCTAAAAAATTTATGGATTGATTTAGTTCTATTTCTATTGTAAATTCAATATGACTATAAAGTGAATTAATATATGATAAAAGTTGGTCGAGTTGCCTGTTAGTTCCTGTGAAACATACCAGTACGTCATCTACGTATCTCCACCAATATAAAAACTGTTTGAATATGGAATGTTTTGAAATCTTTGTCTCTAGATGATCCTTAAAAATATCTGATAGCAATAGGCTTAGACGATTGCCCAATATAAGTCCTACACTGTTATTTGTGTATATTTGATTATTAAATTCAACATAGTCCTGCTTTATGCAAACTTCAAGAAGATGTAAAATTTCAGATGTAATGATTGGATTTGTACTACTTTGGTCTAAAAGGTTTTTTACTAGAAGTTTCTGCAGGCGGAATACTAGGAAAAAGATTGTTTACGTCAAATGAAATTAATCTGGAGTTGTTAGGTAATTGAAAATGTTGTATTTTATTAACTAGTTCTATCGTATTTTTATGGTGAATTTAGGCGAAAATTTAGTATGTTCTAAAATAATCTATAACAGTTTTTTTGAAAGCTTATATGAGGGAGCTGTATAAAAAGAAACTACAGATCTTATTGGCTGATCCGGTTTGTGTAGTTTATTGAAAGAGTATAATGTAGGAGGCTGTGGGTTCATGATATTCAGGAACAGGAACTAACAGACAACTCGATCAATTTTTATCGTATATTAATTCACTTCATAGTCATATTGAACTTACAATAGAAACAGAACAAAATCAATCCATAAATGTTTTAGATTTAAAAATTATCAGAATTAAAAACAAACATGACTTCTCCATATTTCACAAACCTACCCATACTGACACGACTATATACAATTCATCATCCCATCCCACACAACATAAACTGGCAGTCTATCATAGTATGTTACATAGATTAACAAAAATTCCGATGTCAAAATACAACTTTGAGACAGAATTAGATATCATTAAATACAAATAGCAGTAAACAATGGATACAACGAACAAACAATTAATAAAATGTTAGATTAAAAACAAACAAGAAAGCCCTGAAATTAGTATTTCCATCACCAGAGAAAAAACCCAGTACCTTCTGCTCGATTACATATTCAGGCAAAATATCAACAAAATAGCCAAAAACATAAAAAAGAAAGGAATAACACCAGCTTTCAGAACCAATAACAACTTAAGCAAATTTATAAAAAAAAAACAAGAGCCAATACACAATTTACATAAAATTAATATATATATTAGTTTTCATATCGTGACAAATTAATTTTGTTTATCTTTATTTTTATGTGAGACTGTTTAAAACTTTTATAAATAGTTTCACTTATTTCTAGTATTAAACTCCTAATCAAATATTTAAATTGGGGGTATATAAAATTGAATACCTACTTTAAAGTCATCCATGAGTCCTAATTTTTTAGTAATAGTTTTATATTCTTCTCTAGTTCTATAGATAATTCGAACAGGCGTATTAAATTTAACCTGCTTTAGATCTTCAACACCTATAACTGGGCTCTGGTAAACTTTTTTAACAAAATCAATGTCATAATTTTCCTAAAACAAAAGAATAAGGCAATCAAATCAATAGATCTAGAAATATGGAAGATAGATTATAACTTCATAAAGGGACTTTTGATACCCATATAATAATACATTGACGAATTTGTAAGATACTACTACTACTACTAGTACTAAACACACAAATTCTATTCAGTTGTACAAGAAACGTATTTCAGAGCGGTCGTCTTTAGTATACTGTATGAATCTAATTCACAAATTAGGTATTCAGGTACTGTATAATATAGTATACATTAGATACGGTAAGTAGATTAGTAAAGTATGGGCCGCTTGGGCGAGACATGCCGCCAGACGCCAGATAGGTCCACTCTGACGTCACTGGCGTCAATGTCGGTAAGCATTGGATCTGCATTACCGGCCGAGTATGAACCTTAGCCAGGACCGGAAGTAGTTTTAACTGTCGGTCAGTCAATTCTTCTTTGTCTGTCAACCGTCAATTCTTCTTCTTTACCGTAGCTAATGTACGAAGGAAGCTACACCGACGCTAGAGATATGAGACAAGCATGATAGACATATGGAAACATATGACACACGTGTGGAAACCGTAATGAGTTGCATACTATATTTTATCTACGACGAACAAGCAATTCATTTTTAAAGTTGTTATTGTGTAACATTTTTTTTATATAATAATATATTAAATTATTTATATATTAATATTAATATATTAATTCCCTTTACCCATATGGATGATACGCCGATGACAAAATAGCATGGAATTTCCCGTAGAAATTAGTTTTAACGAGTACGAAAGGGTTTTATTCCTTTTCTTCTTAATCCCGAGTATGAAAGGAACTAATGCCTTTTAGTGAAGGCGGGTTCTTTTTCATAAATTCGGTAATTGTCTTCGAACGCACGTAGTAATGCGTTTCGGTGAAGGCGGGTTCCTTTATGATAGATTTGTAAATATTCCGAAGGCCCGAATAGTAATTTTTCGGAAAAACCTAATCTAGAAGATTTATATTTGGTTACATTTATAGCTAGAAGGGTACCGTTGGTTTCGATGTTCATTCGAATCTTTTTACCTTCTCAGAACTACATACGGCTGGCCTATGATTTTTGAGTGGGAGATATCCCCTCTTTTTTCTTGGGTAGTTTGTAAAATTTTAGAAAAACCAAATTACTTCTCGGTGGGCTCTCGTTGAGTAAAGGCTCACATGATCGTATCTGTTATCTTACTGTCTGTGAATTGTTTTCTATGTGTGTATACACTTTATATTTGAGTTTTCTTATCTTGTACTATATTAGATTATATATAGTTCTAAAGTACCTTTAATGTTAATTAAAGTCAGTGTTGGATACAAGTAAAGTATTAAGTACAGTATATAGCTTCAGTGAAGTACCTAGTGCCGCAGTCGTCAAGATTTACTGTAAGTAATCATTATCTTCAAATTATCTGGGCGAGTAATATGGTATGGTATCATATCATCTGTCATTATCTGGACGTATCTAAGTTCCTCCATGTCTTCACCTGTAGATTGCTGATTTTTGCATTCAATTTAAAGAACATTTCAATAGATTCAAGAAATTTCAATAAGTAATAATTATAAACATTTAAGTCTCAGTTTCTTATTAAATAATAGTGCGAGATAGTTAATCCACTTAACCAAGTGCGGTTTGGTAAAATTCTTATGTTTTCATTTCTGTAACCTTTTTGTATTTTTGTAAATTTAGAATTGATTAATTTTTGTTATCTTTTGTGTTGGTAATAACTTTTATTCATTTTTTTGCTGTAATATCTCGAAATACGCCAAAACTTTATTTGTACATGATTGTATTATATATCTTTGTAAAGGTATTTTCTAATTATATAACTGCTTATTTTTATATGTATACCACCATTTCATAGTTATTGGTGTATGTTTCTTACTTGTGTTGCATTCAGCAGCGTCATAATTTTGTTGTTGAATATATTGTTATTGTTTTATGTATGTATTTTATTTGTCGGCTCCTAACAAGTTCCCTGATAAAAAAGTAACATTGAATATTTTCTTTTTGCCTTTAATTATTACTATACCTTTGACCAGTAGAAAAATCAGGCTGATTTAGTTTAGTAGGTAAGTAGGTATAATACCTAAGATAATTATTATTTGTTTATGTAGTGTGTTGACCAAATTTATTTGGTAATTTAACTGTTGGTATCTTTCCTTGGGTTTGATTTCTGAACCTAAATATCTTTCCTTATCTCTTTTCTTTTCTAAGGTTTCTTAATTTTCTCCTTAACCCCAAAAAATTGAGTGGCACCCTGTTTCTTATCATATCTTTGGTAATTTTACCCATCTATCTTTTGTTTATTTCTGTATCCCTTCTAATATCTCTTATCCTATCTTTACTTATTTCATACGTTGGACCCATCCTCGGTTCCAAAAGCTAGTTTCGAACCCACGACTCGTTCTCCACCAACCATCCGCAGTGTCTCCATTGGTGACCTTTCTAGGACCATCCAAAAAAGGTTTCCGAGGTTACAATAGTACTACCGGTCTCCGATAAGAGTATGTGTTAGTCATAGAAGGTTCTTCGATAGCCATCAGTCAACAGTTTCCCCTGATCATGTTTACAAAACATACGGAATGCACTGTATATGCTAACCCAAGTCGACAACATACTTTGCAGATTTATTTATTTATTTTATTTATCGTATGGTACTTGACACATTCGATGCACTTTTGTGCATCGAGTACAACATACCACTGGTTCTTGCATAATATCGATTACGAGAAGGCTTTTGATTCTGTAGAGTTTGAAACAGTACTGGAAGCCCTAAATCAAAGCCGAATAGATTACAGGTACACGACACTAATCACAAACATTTACGAGAACGCTACATCAAGAATACGACTACATGAAGACACAGAAAAATTCAGCTTAGGTCGAGGAGTTAGACAAGGAGACAATATTTCACCAAAATTATTCACGGCAGCTCTAGAGTCAATATTTAAGAACACTCAATGGCAAGATATAGGCATCAATATAGATGGAGAAAGATTAAATCATCTAAGATTTGCAGATGATATTGTATTAATCGCAGATAACTTACAGGATACAGTTTCTATGATACATTTGCTTACAAGTCTGTCTGAAAGAGCAGGATTAAAGATAAACTTTTAGAAAACTAAACTTATGACAAAACTCGTAATGAGTGGAAATATAACTATTGACAATAATACCATGTAACAAACAGACACTAACAAATATCTGGGATACGAGATCAAAATAAGCAGAGACAATCAAACACGTGAAATACAGAGGCGAATAGGCCTGACATGAGCAGCATTTGGCAAATTAAGCCATATTCTAAAAAGTTCAATTCCCATGTATCTCAGCGAAAGGTTTATAACCAATGTGTTTTGCCTGTACAAACTTATGGATCAGAGACTTTAACACTCACGCAAAAATCTGCGAATAAACTCAGAGTTACACAACGAGCCATGTAACGTGCAATGCTGAACGTGAGCCTTCGAGACCATATAACAAACCAACAAAGCAGCAAAGATCAGGAGTTCAAGACGTCATCGAAAGAACCACGACGCTAAGTGGAACTGGGCAGGGCACTTAGCCAGAACACAAGATGGACGATGGACAAGACGTATTATGGAATGGAAGCCCAGAAATTATAAAAGAAGCCGAGGACGACCACCGACTAGATGGACCGATGATATAAAAAGTGTAGCGAGAAACTGGCTACAAGTGGCCCAGTAAAGAGAACACTGGAAAGAACTGAGGGAGGCCTATGTCCAGCAGTGGACGCGATTGACTGATTGATGATGATGACTTGACACATTTACATTTAAATTTACATATATATTGTATAAAATGTAAAACATATATGTTTACAAACCAACATCTAACTTATTTATATGGTCTATCGACTCTGAACTCATTAGGAAATCCACTGATTTGGCTTGATAGGATCTTGTGGGACAATGTACTGTAATGTGACAGATGGTTTGGGGTTGTCCGCAGTCACAGAGTGGGGATGGTCGTTTACCCCATTTGTGAATCATGTAACCGCATCTGCCGTGTTGGGTTCTGATTCGGTTCAACATAGTCCATGCATTGCGTGGTAAGTCAAAACCTGGTGGTTTTTGTGTAATGCAGGGTAAGCTGCTATTTTGTTATAATGTATATGTTGTTGTGTATAAGGTAAACAGGTGTGCATCCTCGCGGGATAAAAGTCGACCTTCCTTTTTATACTCCGTAAAGGACCATCAAATATTCAACGTTAAAATCTGTCAGACATATTAAGAAATAAATATTTATTACACAGTTTTAAAGTATATGTAGTTTTAGAGTATGTATATAAAACATTAATACAGGGTAAATGTAGAAAGTTAATCGTAACGATTGGTATTGTACTTCAGGTCTCTGGTAAGAATGAAAATATATGTTTGCATAGAAAACTCGTTTAACAATTTGATTTAAAAATGTATATGTTGATACCGAGTTGCATACTTATTATTAATAGTTGCATTATTAGGTATATATTGTATGAATAATATAAAAGGTATACACATACTATATTTTATTTATGACCATAAATTAATTTAGAATGTACATCGACTGTCGGAAAATGTAATAGGTAACCGTAAACTTGTTAATAAAGTTATATTATTATCTAAGTGAAGGAATGATTCTAAGTTATCGGATGTAAAGTGATGCATAAAAATGATTAAAAGCATGCGATGAAGGGAATGTAACCAATTCGGTTCGAACATAAATTCGTTGAAAAACAAAAATCTGTTCGTAACGGCAGCCACCAACGAAAAAGTACGGTTACATCGACTACCGGGAAAGATTTTGTTAGTATGGAACAAACAGTATGAATGAATTCATTTACATAATATGATACACATGATAGCATTGTACTTAACTTACTATGATCAGCTCATTATTTAAGTTGTTAGGGGGGCTGCACGAACACATAGCTCCGGAATTAACCAGAAAGGTTCATCAATTTGCCAATGGTCCGTATCAAA